CAGTCAGTTTCTGACCTGAATTCATTCATCAGCTGGGAGTTCTCTTTCAACAGAAAATCACGGCTAGAACGTCAGTATTATATAATACACTTATATAATACAAATTGCATTGATGCATGTCCAATGTATTGAGTCATTACCTACAAACGGTTAACAGCTAGATTTGGGTTAATGTTGAGAGAGAGGGAGAGAGAGAGAGGGGGGGGGGGGGGGGGTTAACGTGCACTATACAGAAACTAGGTTATTTTAATGCATTCCGACTCGGGACCCCACTAAACAATCTTAGCAAGTGGGTTTAAAGACGGTCACGGACTTTATCCTAGATCGCAATAACACACTTTAATGACGAGTCGGGGAGAAAAATATGCAAATGTTATGGTGCACGAGAAGGATTTTTATAAAACTGGGTTTAATGGACACTTTTACACCACTAACCCAAGTGTTAAGTTGGCAGGCCTCAGAAGACATATTTTATTTCCTAGTTCAGTTTTGGGTTATTTAACTGCTCGTTCTGTAATAGGTTTAAATTTCGGGATGATTAATTTCGGACAGTTACAGTAGATACACTAGTGTAATATTAACACCTTCCAGTGTTTGAGCTCCCTCTTAAAACTTGTGATTTTTCAAAACGATGTATTCAGTGTTTCTCCAAATAGCAAAGGTCTGTGAATTTTGAACTTATAGATATGTAATGCAGCGAGTCAGGGAGACCGGTTTATATCTGTGTTGGGGCTACACCATTCAGTTGCAGGTACTTGATGACTGCCCTATAGCCAGTTTTGTCCATTTCTGGTGATTTCGATGGGTAGGTTCACAAGATGGTCTGGTACGACGACAATAATAACAATACAGTTGCAGTTCTTATGTCTATGATTCATTCACTGACTGTACTTGTTGGCGGTAAAAGTTTATTTCAACTCAATTGATCTCTCTGCCTTAGAACTTTTCAGCCAGCCCCCGTATATATGTATAAAAATTAGAACGTGGCCCTAAACGATAAAATTACTATTTTTCATAAATAACCGTATTTGATGAATAAAGTTCCCTTAACGGCAATCACCTCTGGTATTATTAATATATTCCAAATTTATTTCTGGCCAGAATTTTGAAAAAATGCATATTCTGTATGTTACCATGTAAATTATAACAGTCAGTTTCTGACCTGAATTCATTCATCAGCTGGGAGTTCTCTTTCAACAGAAAATCACGGCTAGAACGTCAGTATTATATAATACACTTATATAATACAAATTGCATTGATGCATGTCCAATGTATTGAGTCATTACCTACAAACGGTTAACAGCTAGATTTGGGTTAATGTTGAGAGAGAGGGAGAGAGAGAGAGAAGGGGGGGGGGGTTAACGTGCACTATACAGAAACTAGGTTATTTTAATGCATTCCGACTCGGGACCCCACTAAACAATCTTAGCAAGTGGGTTTAAAGACGGTCACGGACTTTATCCTAGATCGCAATAACACACTTTAATGACGAGTCGGGGAGAAAAATATGCAAATGTTATGGTGCACGAGAAGGATTTTTATAAAACTGGGTTTAATGGACACTTTTACACCACTAACCCAAGTGTTAAGTTGGCAGGCCTCAGAAGACATATTTTATTTCCTAGCTCAGTTTTGGGTTATTTAACTGCTCGTTCTGCAATAGGTTTAAATTTCGGGATGATTAATTTCGGACAGTTACAGTAGATACACTAGTGTAATATTAACACCTTCCAGTGTTTGAGCTCCCTCTTAAAACTTGTGATTTTTCAAAACGATGTATTCAGTGTTTCTCCAAATAGCAAAGGTCTGTGAATTTTGAACTTATAGATATGTAATGCAGCGAGTCAGGGGATTTATGAACTATATTGCCTTCTAGGACATAATCCCTAGATTATTTAAGTCAAATAAAATTGGAAGCCTCCGCTAGTTTTTGATATCGGTGATTGGAGTCAAAGAATTTTCGTTCAAATAGCGAGTTTCAGTGACGGCCAAATTTACCGATGCGAATATCGGTCTGTGGTAAATATTGTTTCTACAATTGTAAATAGAATGGCAAGTGTGACAGAAATGTTATCAAAACATTACAGAATTTCTTGCATCGATCACAGAAATGAAATGAAATGGGGTTTAAAGTCCTACTGTTCTGCTCCGAACTGGGCTATTGAAGACGGACATATGAGGGAAATTTTGCCCGGGCAGCGGCGCTACGGCCTACTCTTATATCGAATTCAAACTGCCAAGGGATCTTTTACGTGCACGCCAATATGTACACGGGACCTCGGTTATTCGTCCCATCCGAACGACTAGACAGCTGTCCTTGTCAGGCCCTCCGTCCTGCATCACTGACAAGGGGAAACCACGCCGGAAAATCTGGATGAACTTTCTCGGGCAATGCAGGGATCGAACACCCGACTTCCAGGATAGCGAGCCAGCGTCTTATCCACTTAGACACGTGATCCCCTTCATCGATCACAGACTGGATACAAAACATTCAAGTATTGATTGAAAAACTTACCAGAACTGACAGTCGTATCGCTAACATAAGTTATAGTTGTTTCATCTTTCCAAGACGGTATGTCTGTTGTTACATCTATCGTTGATGGTAGGTCAGTTGTTATATCTGGCGTAGCTGGTATATATGTTGTTATATCTGGCGTAGATGGTATATACGTTGTTACATTGGCGCTAGTTGGTATGGTTGTTATTACATCTATCGTAGATAGTACGTCTGCTACATTTGTATTACGCGGTATGTCCGATGTTCCACTTGCCGTAGCTGGTACATCAGTAGTTACATCTGTTGTGGATGATATTTCTGTTATTGCGCTCGCCGTAGATGGTAAGCCTGGTATTACTTCTGTCGTGGAGGGTATACCTGTTGTTACATCTGTCGGTAATGTTATGCCTGTTATTACATCTGCGGTAGATGATATGTGTGTTATTACATTTGTGGTAGATCGTATGTCCGTTGTTACATATGCAGTAGGCGGTACTTCAGTTATATTTTTCACAGATGGTATATGTGTTAATACATCTGTGGTGGATGGTATATTTGTTAATACATCTGTGGTAGATGATGTATTTGTTAATACATCTGTATTAGATGGTGTATCTGTTACTACATCTATCGTGGATATTACATCTGTCGAAGATATGTGTGTTGTTACATATGTCGTAGATGGAATGTCTGTTATTACATCCGTGGTAGATGGCATATCTGTTTTTAGATCGGTGGTAGATGGTATGCCGTCTATACCTGATATTACTTCTGTCCTTGATGGTATGTCTGTTACATCTATGCGTGTTTTTAAATCTGCAGTAGTAATAGGTATGTCGGTTGTTACACTTGTTGTGGATGATATTTCTGTTATTACCCCTGATGATATTTGTGTTGTTACATCTGTCGTAGATGATATATCTGTTTTTAAATCTGTCATGGATGGCATATCTCTCATTACATCTATCGTAAATGGAACGTCCGTTATATCTGTAGTTGGGGGTATGTATGTTGTTACACGTGAAGAAGAAGGTGTTCCCGTTGTTATATATGTCGTGAATGGTATATCTGTTATTACATCTGTGGTAAACGGGGGGTTTGCTCCATCTATAGTAAGGGGTGTGTCCGTTGTTACACCTATAGTAGGAGGTATGTGTGTTATTTTATCTGGCGTAGCTGTAACATCCGCGGTAGATGGTATATCTGTCATTATAGCTGAGGTCGATGGTATATCTGTTATTACTTCTGGGGTAGATGATATGTGTGTTATTGAATTTGTGGTAGATAGCACGTCGATTGTTGGACCTGTTGTGGGTGATATGTCTGTTAATACATCTGTAGTGAATACTATGTTTGTTGGTCCATGTATGTATGTGTTTGCACCTGCCGTAGACGGTATATCTGTTATTACATCTGCTGTAGATGGTATGTCTGTTATATCTGTAGTAGGAGACATGTCCGTTGTTACATCTTTCTTAGATGGTATATTTGTTGTTACATTTGTGGTAGATGGTATGTGAGTTGTTACATCTGTGGTAGACGGTATATCTGTTATTTCATCTGTGGTAGATTGTTTGTGTGTTATTACATCTGGGGTAGATGGTATATCTGTTATTACATCTGGGGTAGATGCCATATCAGTTGCTACATATGAGGTAGATGTTATATTTGTTATTACGTGTGTGGTAGATGGTTTTTCTGGTGTTGCATCTGTCGAAGATTGTATGTCTGTTGTTACATCTGTCGTAGGTGGTATGCCTGTTGTTATATCTGTCGGAGGTGATATGTCTGTTGTTACATTTGCCGTAGATGTTCTGTATGTTGTTTCATCGGGCGTAAATGGTATGCCTGTTATTACATCTATAGTAGATTGGACGTTTGTTACATCTGTAGTGTGTGTGTCAGCCATTACATCTGTAGTATTGAGTATGTCTGTAGCAGTAGGTATGCCGTTTGTTAAACCTGAAGTTGGGCGTATGTTCGTTGTTGTTACATCTGTTTTGGGTGACATTTCTGTTATTACATCTGCCGTAGATGGTATATCTGTCATTACATCTGCCGTAGATGGTATATCGGTTATCACATCTGTTCTAGATGGTATGTCAACATATGTTACATTTGTTGTTGAAGATATGTCTGTTTTTACACCTTTCGAATATGGCATATTTGTCGTTACACCTGTAGTAGATGTTTTATCTGTTATTACCTCTATCGTAGAAGGTATTTTTGTTATTACATCAGGGGTCGATGCCATATCTGTTGTTACATCTGTGGTAGATTGTTTGTGTGGTGTTACATCTGGCGTAGATGGTATGCCTGTTATTACATGCATCGTAGATGGGGCGTTTGTTACACCTGTAGTAGTAGGTGTGTCTGTTATATCTGTAGTTGGGGTTATGTCTGTTGTTACACCTGAAGTAGACAGTATATCTATTATTACACCTGTTGTAGATGGTATATTGTCTGTTACACCTGGAGTAGCGTGTATATCTGTTATTACACCCGTGGTAGATGGTTTGGGTGTTGTTACGTCTGTCGTTGTGGAAACATCTGTAGTAATAGGTATGTAGGTTGGTGATACATTTATGGTAGGTACATGTATCGTAGGTGCAATTGTAACAGTTGTGGGTGGCAATATTGTTGTTACATCTGTGACAGAAGTAGGCGTATACTTAGTTGTTACATCTATCGTGGATGATTCTGTTCCACTACTTGCTGAAAAACATGTTATTATATAACCTGTAAGAAGTGGAAACATACTGCTATTCATTTTGTATTTTTATTATCTAAGCAAATATATTTCATATTCTAATGAAATGTATTATTTGTTAATCTAATAAATGATCAACTATGTAAAACTGGGTAGGTATGCTGAACTAGTTTCTTGTAACTGAGTTCTCTTAACCAATAACAAAAACAACAATAACAACTTAATTAAGAAGAGTGATCTTTGAGTTTTAATAAGATGGCAAAGTCTACTTATCAAAACACTGGAGTAAATATACCAGCTACATTGATCAGTAATTAAATGCTTGTGAAGCAGAAATCACTGGATGACTGTTAGTTGACTGATGTTTTGCTAAATATCCAACTCTAGTTCGACTAAGTAAATCATAATTTAATGGTAAACATTCATTAGAAAATATCTTTCATAGGCTTAATATTGTCCTAAAAAAACTTACCCCCCCTCCCCATTAAATTGTGTATATATCAAACGTTGTTTTATTTTGATTTTGTGCATGAAATGGTGACATAAGAATGTAGAAAACAAGAATCATTAGTTTAAAATATTGCTTTCGTATATAATATATTCAAACAGGAAACACAAATCATTAATATTGTTCCATTTCGGTATTTGGTCTTCTATACAGACGAGGGCTGGCTGAAAAGTTTCAAGATTATCTCTGAAAGACCTGTAGAAAGTCGATGGATTCCATTTTTTTTCTGCATATTCCTCTTCGGTCAAGAGTAATATTTTCTTCAGACATCCTTAAAAAAATTGAAAATGATGACCGGCTAGTTCCTTTTTTTTAATTCTGCTTTGGCCGAGAAAGTCCATCGGGATTTTCTGACGTGGTTTCCCCTCGTCAGTTCGATCCCGGTGTTGGTCAAGAATTTTCCCCTTGTTAGTGGTGTTGGACAGAGGACCTGGCAAGAACAGTGTCTAGTCCTTCAAATAGGACAAAAAAATCAAGATTTTGTGCTCATGTTGGATGTGCATGTTAAAGAAACCTTGACAGCGGGAATTCGAAATGAGAGTAGGTCATTCATTCATTCCTTTTTCTCTTTGTGTGTCGCTTACAGGCCGCAATTCTTAAAGGAGTTAAATCGTTCGACCCCTGCATTGGCCGAGAAAGTGATGCAGGAGGGAGGGCCTGATAAGGACAGCTGTCTAGTCGTTCGGATGGTACAAAAAACCAAGGTCCCGTGTACACATTGGCGTGGACGTAAAATATCCCTTGACAGTTGAAATTCGATATAAGAGTAGGCCATAGTGTTCCCGTCTTCATTAGCCCAGTTCGGAGCAGAACAGTAGGACGTAAAACCTCCATTTCGTTTCATTGCATTTAGTTTCTTTTTAATTTTCGGAAATGGGTCTCATCCATTGTTAGAAATCTGGAAGAGACATTATCAGGATCTACTTCGAAACGGCGCAGATTGTCACAAAACGTCTGGTATATGACACGTTTCTGATCCGCTGTCAAGAGCTTTGGCACCCAGCTTGCTATAACGTTTGTCATTCGTTGGCGATAATAACCCTCTTAAGAGAGGTTCCCACTGCACTGACAATATGTGGAGTGTTTAATCGTCGATCTGCCATCATAATGTCATGCACCTGGTTGGTGTTGATGGCCTTCCAGGACGCGGTTCACCGTCTAGACTCTCTCTCTCTCTCTCTCTCTGCCATAGATAAATTCCGCAACCAACTTCTTTACTGTGGGAAATGAAGGGACATCATTCCCTAAAGTGGAGACCGGTTTATATCTGTGTTGGGGCTACTCCTTTCAGTTGCAGGTACTTGATGACTGCCTTGTAGCCAGTTTTGTTCATTTCTGGTGTTTTCAATGGGTATAGGTTCACAAGATGGTCTGGTACGACGACAATAATAACAATACAGTTGCAGTTCTTATGTCTATGATTCATTCACTGACTGTACTTGTTGGCGGTAAAAGTTTGTTTCAACTCAATTGATCTTTCTGCCTTAGAACTTTTCAGCCAGCCCCCGTCTATATGTATAAAAATTAGAACGTGGCCATTTTTGAACGTGGTCCTAAACAATAAAATTAATATTTTTCATAAATAACCGTATTTTATGAATAAAGTTCCCCTAACAGCAATCACTTCTGGTATTATTAATATATTTCAAATTTATTTCTGGCCAAAATTTTGAAAAAAATGGCTATTCTGTATGTTACAATGTAAAGTATAACAGTCAGTGTCTGACCTGAATTCATTCATCAGCTGGGAGTTCTCATTTAACAGAAAATCACGGCTAGAACGTCAGTATTATATAATAAACTTATATAATACAAATTGCATTTATACATGTCCATTGTATTGAGTCATTACCTACAAACGGTTAACAGCTAGATGTGGGTTAATGTTGAGAGATAGAGAGGGAGAGAGAGAGGGTTTAACGTCCACTCGACAAAAACTAGGTCATTTCGGGACTACCATATGGTTCTATTTTATTTTAATATTTCGCTTGAGCGTAGGGGCCTTTAGCAGTGGGAGGAAACCGGAGGACACGGAGAAAACATATGAGGTTGGACAGGCAACAGTCTGTAGCACCATGGGTCTTCTGTCTGAGGTGGAGAGCGGGAGATTGCAGGCCGGTCGCCACACCCTACGTACGGCCCATGCATCTTTTCTTACTACATATTTCTGTAGCTTTGTGATGGTCTAGAATTTGTCTCTAGCTGTCTTTGCTTCTCCTCCACGTTGTGTATTTACTTCTTACCGGTTTCCTAAGACCTTTGTCTTCTCAGTTATAACAATGCAACAGTTCGTTTTTACATTTTATACATCATATAGCTGCTTACAGATGGTACAATGCACAGTACATATTACAATATTAACTACAGTCATTCTCCACCCTAGTCAGCCAAGCGGCTGTCTAGGAACTCATATGGAACCTCTCTGGAATCCAACGGAAGTCTGACTTAAAAGTTTACTATGATTTTTTTTATAGCGCTCATGCATATCACGCACAGAAAGCCTGTTCATGGCCCCGAACCTGTGCAATTTCTGATATGATTGGTTAAATTAAGCCAAATGATGCAATTAGAATATTTCGACTCACGTGTAATCTCGTGGTATTTTATTGACACACAGAAAGTGTTATGTTTTGGCTATATAACTCTCCCTATGTGTCAACCTGTCACTTATACCCTAAGCTGATTTAGTACAATTCTACATATATGTGAATTTAATAACTTGACAAATATATTAATTAATGGAATATAATATAATCTTATTCCTCCATTCCTTGCCTATAAATTGAAAACAATGTCGCAACGACAATATTGCCACATTTCTTCCCCCTTTAAGAATATATATAAGTAATTATTCACACATCAGACAAATATAAATGATTACTATACTATAAAACTAAGCTGTGAAAGAAAAAAACAAATAATCAAAAATCAAAAGTCATAAGTCGCATGCAAAAGCTCTCCGAAAATTTCATCACTGTAAAATCCTATGACAATTCACTTAGCCTAAACCTAAACACCAATTGTCTTTTTTAAATCTTCAAATGTCCTAATTTCAAAACACTATAACACATCACGTAATATTTTATAAAGTTCAGTTTCACTTAAAATTCTGTCTCGGGATATCTCAATTTGGTAAACTGGTAAATCATTTCTTCTTCTTGGATTTCTATTGGTCTGTTTCAGCTACCATAGTATCAAGTTGAAACTTTCTTTTTTTCTTCTAAGTATGATTGGTTTGTATAATTTTATCCGGCAATCAAACATGTCATTGCCATCAGACCAAGAACTAACTATTACTAAATCTTTAAAACTTTATTTTGATATTAGTTTAATATTATTAGTAGTAACTCTTACTTTTAAATTAAAATTAAACTTTATTTAATTATTAATAAACTTTGATGTGTCTTTTTAATTATAAATTTTCAATCTAACTTTGACCTTTTGACCTTACGTAAGTAATATACAATTTTATAATTTTATAATATCTGTTTCTGTTTTAGAATTCCGCCAAAACAATTTCATTATTATTTCATATTTCCCCGTCAGTAATGTGACCTTTTTGACCTTATCATTTACAATTTTAACTTCTATTTTACAGGTCAACCAAAGCAAATATACTGTTATCGTACACCACTGAATGTCTAAAACAAACAGGGCCCTTGCCTATTCAAACACTAGTGTGACATTACATTATTACATAGAATTATATCGCGAGCAAATGGCTGTACCCTCCATTCACTCGAAACATCGTCCATATTTTATAAACACAGCATTCCTAGCTTTCAATTACCACCTAACCAGACCAGTGATATTATATTGTTTAATAAACCTATAAATCTCAACTTATGAATGATTATATTTTATTCTCCATACAGTTAAATTTCAAATATTTAGATTCTAATCAGATTTTAACCTTAAATTAATATTATTTGGTCTGTAAACAAATATAATACATTTAATTTACCAAACAAAATGTATTTACCGACTTTTTCGACTATTTCCACCAGATTTCGTATTTCCACAAAAATTTGTTCTGTTGCTGGATTGTACAGGTTTTCTTCTTCTTAACGTCTTCCAAATCAAATATGTATTCTTCTTCTAAAGTGACTTCTTACCCCAAAGGTCAACACTTCAGCACGGCACCAAATCGAATATGTAAGACTATGCAGTGCTATGCAGTCGCTGGTTAGATGTAGAAAATATGCCGGGAGAACTCCCCGCATCCAACGTGTGATGCATACTCTCTTTTCTTCTAATCTTCTTCCAGGTTACTCGATCTCGTAGTCACGTGCACCAAATCGAATATGTAGCACCATGGGTCTTCTGTCTGACGTGGAGAGCGGGAGATTGCAGGCCGGTCGCCACATCCTACGTACGACACATGCATCTTTCCTCACTACATATTTCTGTAGCCTTGTGATCGTCTAGAATTTGGCTCTAGCTGTCTTTGCTTCTCCTTCACGTTGTGTATTTACTTCTTACTGGTTTCTTAAGACGTTTGTCTTCTCAGTTATAACAATGCAACAGTTCGTTTTTACAATTTATATATCATATAGCTGCTTACAAATGATGCAATGCACAGTACATATTACAATATTAACTACAGTCATTCTCCACCCTAGCCAGCCAAGCGGTTGTCTAAGAACTCAGGTGGAACCTCTCTGGAATCCAATGGAAGTCTGACTTAAAAGTTTACTATGATTTCTTTTATAGAGCTCATGCATAGCACGCACAGAAAGCCTGTTCATGGCCCTAAACCTGTGCAATTTCTGATATGATTGGTTAAAGTAAGCCAAATGATGCAATTAGAATATTTCCACTCACGTGGTGTAATCTCGTGGTATTTTATTGACACACAGAAACTGTTATGTTTTGGCTATATAACTCTCTCTATGTGTCAACCTGTCACTTATACCCTAAGTTGATTTAGTACAATTCTACATACATGTATATGTGAATTTAATTACTTGACAAATATATTAATTAATGGAATATAATATAATCTTATTCCTCCATTCCTTGCCTATAAATTGAAAACAATGTCGCAACGACAATATTGCTACATGTCTTTATAAAAGTAGTAAGCATTTAACCGCCGCATCTAACAGAATTCAGACAAATGAAAAGAAAGCGACATTTCTACAATGGCGTAGTTCCGTTTACCAGTTCAAAAACTGGACTAAATAATCTCAGTTTAAACATGCATTATGCAAGAGCTTAATCTGCCTATTGCAGGTCTTTCTTTAGGCCTTAAATGTTATCTAAATTATTAATTAGACATTAATTAACTTATCCAGACCATAATCAAGTCTTGATGTCATCGCTAGCCTACAATATGTAGTGGATTTGTGATGGATGTTTTAACGTAAATGGGCTAATGGAGAATTTGTTAATTATCGTACCAAGGGTAGTAATGACGATCGAGCGTGGCTAGCCTAAAATTGAATCGCTAATATCTCGGTTCACAATGAAGCAATTTGACTGAAATTTTCAGCATATTCTGTTTTAAATATCTATGTTTAACTGTTATAGCGATAACTGTCAGCTCTTTATATAACCTTACCCAACGCCCTTTTAAGTTATGTAACTAAATTAAAATAGTTTGACCATCAATTTAGACATTTCCAGACCAAATATAATAATTCTCTGATTTTATCAACGTAAATCCTGCGAAATCAAGAGGAACCCCGGAAAACAATTCTTTGACTTGTCATGTTAGCCTAATAAATAGAGGTAAACCATACTTACACGATATTGATGTTGACCTATAAAGTAAAATTAAAATGAATATTACCCGACAAATCTGTATAAACACCTGGCAAATATATCATTTTCTATGAAATATAAGATTTTATCAAATTCACCCCCACAATCTTTAGATCGGTCTTGATTTTGACAGACTGCAAAGGTTAAAGAAAAAAAAATCCATTGGATCTTATGTTGGGAATATTGGATAAAAGTCCATAATTAATCGACTGGTAAAAGTAATGTTTAAACATAATGAGAATACTTACTGTGGCACTAAAATAAATCTAAAAGTTTCCACTTACATACATTGATACCGTGTTCCAACCAGCACGCATTCACCACTACAGGTTATACACTGGGCCACTTTCTCTAAAATATAAGTTTTAAATATAGAAGAATCTAAAGTCTAGTAACATGGCGAGATATATCTCCTTTTATTTGTAAGGCCAGGCCGTAACACAATATTCTTTTTTAATTCCACAAAAGATTATTATAAGCTGTATTTTATGAGATGAATTGAGATGAAATAAAATGGGGTTTAATGTCCTTCATTTATGCATTTCGACTCGGGGCCCCACTAAACAATCATAGCAAGTGGGTTTAAATGTCATCACGGACTTTATCCTAGATCGCAATAACACACTTTAATGACGAGTCCGGGAGAAAAGCATGCAAATGTTATGGTGCACTTAGAAGGATTTTTATAAAACTGGGCTTAATGGACACTTTTACACTACTATCCCAGGTGTTAAGTTGGCAGGCCTCAGAAGACATATTTTAGGCTATTTCCTCGCTCAGGTTTTGGTTATTTTAACTGCTCGTTCTGCAGTAGGTTTAAATGTGGGGATGATTAATTTCGGACAGTTACAGTTGATACACTAGTGTAATGTTAACACCTTCCAGTGTTTGAGCTCCCTCTTAAAACTTGTGATTTTTCAAAACGATGTATTCAGTGTTTCTCCAAATAGCAAAGGTCCGTGAATTTTGAACTTATAGATATGTAATGCAACGAGTCAGTGGATTTATGAACTATATTGCCTTCTAGGACATAATCCCTAGATTATTTAAGTCAAATAAAATTGGAAGCCTCGGCTAGTTTTTGATATCGGAGATTTGAGTCAAAGAATTTTCGTTCAAATAGCGAGTTTCAGCGACTGCCAAATATACCGATGCGAATATCAGTACTTGCTCCCTATGCAACTAACAAACACAGAGATTTTATGAAAAGCTCAATGTCATTAAGCGGTCGGCCAAGAAAACTTCCTTGAGTAGCTGTTGAATACAGATTATACTGTACACGTTTTCTTTTCATCTTAGTGAAAATTGAGAAGTCATGTATTTATGAAATTTAACGAATAGTCAAAGGTCAGAATGGGCCATTACATTGCACACGCATCACTGAGGTAGGCTCAACATTTTACCGTGAACATGAAGGAAGAAATGTGAAAACCTAATTGTAACAATTATGCATCACAGGCCGGGGTCAGCAAAGCCTATGCAAACCCGGTGAGTTACGACTACTCGACGAGCACATGAGCCGTTTCGGTATTCGAAGTAAACTATTATTGAAGATTATTTGTCGAACAGAAAACAATCTGTCATCATTAGAGACGGCAGTGCTATTCCGAATAACATAACCACAGGTGTTTCCTAAGGATCAGTATATTGGGTCTACTTTTTCTTTCCTTTTTATATCAGTAATAGTACCGAAAACATTATCTCTAATATATTTTTATTTACAGGCGATAGGCCTGGGTGTCCAAACTGTTGGTCGCGACCGCAGCTTGGGTCGCCAAACACTTTTCATGGGGTCGTGGCGGACTACACTGAAACTTTTGAAAAAATGCTATGTTTTCATGAAAAGTATATAAATCTCTGATAAACACATCTTGCCACATTGCCAATCGTCTTTCCTCAATTTTTATAATGTGTTCAAATGTAAACCATAATTTGTCAAATAAGTAAAACAATCATAAATGTAGCAATGATGATGTTTCATAGTAAAAGGTGACTTTGCTCTTCGAGGTGTCGGGATCAGATGCTGGTTTCTGGATTGGGGTCGCAACCTACAAAAGGTTGGGAACCAGTGCGATACGCCATTAAATCTACCTATTGAAACTACGGGCAAATGTGAACTATAGATTTGAGTTTGATTAACAAATGGTTGACTAAATGGAAGGAGTTGATATTCAAGAAGATAGCGAACATTCTTTTCACACTCTGCCCTAAGGTATTACGGAATTAAAACCCCAATATACTTAAACCAAAAGCTTTTGTCAGTAAAAATGTTTTATTTTTTCATGCCGTACCCGAAAAAGCTTTTTTGCTAGAGCGGTTTTAGCTATGAGGGAAATTTTGCCCGGACATCGACACTACGGCCTACTCTTATATCGAATTCCAACTGTCAAGGGATCTTTTATGTGTACGCGGAACCTGGGTTTTTCGTCCCATCCGAACGACTAGACAGCTGTCCTTGTCAGGCCCTCCTTCCTGCATCACTGACAAGGGGAAACCACGACGGAAAATCTGGATGAACCTTCTCGGCCAATGCAGGGATCGAACGTCCGACCTCCAGGCTAGCGAGCCAGCGTCTAACCCATTTAGCCACCGTGAACCCCCTTCTTTCTAAACATGAGTGGTTGAACACTATAGATAGCTGCAGAGGCTATACCTTTTAACGGATTTTTGTAAAATTGACGGGAAGCATCCGGGTCATGAGAAATTCAAAGCGCTGTGACTTTTCGTCCCGGAGTAATCCCCCCGGTAGAGGCTACAATTTTTAACGGACGTTTCCAAATATTCTTGGAAACATTAAGCGTTCTACGACTTTCCGTTCCAGAGTTATCCCTCTTTTCCCCAAAACCCTGTGAACGCGATGTTGACTATAGTTTTTAATTGATTTCTCAAAGGGATCAGCAGTGAATATTCGGAAGGACCAGTTTACGTTACTACGTCGTATATAAATAATGCACGACGCCGTGTGATGTAAAGTTACACGTAGAAAGAATTTTAACATATAATTTGGTATTTTTGTGGCTAACATCTGCAATTGTGGGGCTGAAAAATCGAAAATCAAATAGTGGTGAAATCTGAAATTTTACAAATGGGGTCAGTGGCTCATAGGGGTAAGGTAAACAAAGTTTATTTCCCAGCAGTGAAATCTTACAGGGGGTAATCGTTTAGCTAAATAACAGTAATGACAGTTAAAGTAACGCTTTACCTTCAGTAGAATTATCAGGTTTTTCACCATAAAAGACATGTATTGGGGCAGATATTTGTGTACAAACATTATCCAGTAGAAAACAATCGGTATTCTCTATAGTAACTAGTTTCTTAGCTACTGATTGACAAATACTTTCTTGTTTACAATCTTTTATAACAGGATCTGTTGATAGTGTTAGTTCATAGTCTACTATAATACTACCAGGTCTACAAATATACAAACATTAATGTTGATAATGTTAATTCATAGTCTACTATAATACTACCAGGTCTACAAATATACAAACATTAATGTTGATAGTGTTAGTTCATAGTCTACTATAATACTATCAGGTCTACACATATACAAACATTAATGATGATAGTGTTAGTTCATAGTCTACTATAATACTACCAGGTCTACAAATATACAAACATTAATGATGATAGTGGTAATTTATAATCTGCTGTGATACTACCAGATCATGATAGTGTTAATTCATAGTCTGCTATAATGCTACTAGTTAATGTTGACAGTGTTAATCCATATTCTACTGTAGTACTACATTAATGCTGATAGTGTTAAAGATGCATTAGTTAAGATTTAGTTAGTTCAAAATCAGATAATGAAAAATGATTACATTTAAAATTTCAGTCAAATTACTTGTGTCTGAGCCACGTTACCAGGTTTTGAAGTCTTCACAATATAGTCAGGATTATCAAGTACAATGGTAACAGTTAGAAATATCGATTATCTTTTTCAATTAAATTATCAAATCGCGATCGTGTTTCTATTCATTAAAATCGCTACAATCCAATGATCTATAGAGACTTGATTATGGGTTTGTCACGTGAATAAATGTCTAATTAATAATTTATATAACATTTGAGGTCAAAAGAAAGACCTGCAATAGGCAGATTTAATTCTTACATAAGTCATGGAAATCTATTATTCTAAGAATGTATAAATATATATTTACATGCATATATAAATATATGCATATATATTCATTTATCTACCGTAAACAAAGAGGTATTTGTACTTTATATATATATATGATTGATCCTGTGACTTAATCGACAATTGTAGTCGAATTTAAAATCAAAACGAGTAAAAATAAAAAATGACATTTGTTACCAGAAAAAATTCAAAACGGGGATGCTGTCATATACCTTATATCTGTAACAGCTGTAGTCAATATACTTGAACTATTTATGAAACTCTTCATCTGGAAATATCAAAGATAATATTTACGTTGTTATAAGACAATATGTTCTAATATGAGTATATTTTATATTGATTAAATTTGGCTGGTTTTATATAAAAAAGATATACTGTTTAAGTAGTTATACTACATTATATTTTCTATTGATTTAACTAGAAACGACCATATAACTTATTTCTTACCCCTATCTCTAAACTTGTCTTTAATGATATATATTCTGTAGATGTTTTATCACTATATTTAACATCATAGTCTTTCTGTAGTGATAACGTTACATATAAAACAGCACCTGTAAAAACAAAATTTTTTAATAACCAGATTTATTATTGCATCGAATATGGTCTGTGGTAAATATTGTTTCTACAATTGTAAATATAATGGCAAGTGTGACAGAAATGCTATCAAAACATTACAGAATTTCTTGCATCAATCACAGACTAGATACAAAACATTCAAGTATTTAAATACTTACCAGAACTGACAGTCGTATCGTTAACATAAGTTGTAGTAGACGACGACTGTGTTGCTAGATCCCCGATGATTGTTGGTGGTATATTAGGTTTTAAAGAGGTGGGTATTTTTACTCCTACACGCGTTGTAGATGTTACCCCCTTGACTGGTACAGTTGATCGTTCTGTATACACGCTTGTTTCAGGTGGTATTTTTGTTGTAACACCTGTAACAGTTTTAGGTGATATATCAGTTGGTATATTTGTTATTACATCTGTGGTAAATGGTATCTGTGTTATTACAGTATGAGGCACGCCCGTTATTTGATCTATCCTAGACGGAATGTCTTTTGTTACATCTATCTTAGATGATATGTATGTTGTTACGTCTTTCGTAGATGGTATTGAAAACTTACCAGAACTGACAGTCGTATCGCTAACATAAGTTATAGTTGTTTGATCTGTCCTAGACGGTATGTCTGTTGTTACATCTATCGTTGATGGTGGGTCAGTTGTTATATCTGGCGTAGCTGATATATATGTTGTTATATCTGGCGTAGATGGTATATACGTTGTTACATCGGTGCTAGTTGGTATGGTTGTTATTACATCTATCGTAGATAGTACGTCTGCAACATTTGTATTACGCGGTATGTCCGATGTTTCACTTGCCATAGCTGGTATATCAGTAGTTACATCTGTTGTGGATGATATTTCTGTTGTTGCGCTCGCCGTAGATGGTAAGCCTGGTATTACTTCTGTCGTGGAGGGTATACCTGTTGTTACATATGTCGGAAATGTTATGTCTGTTATTACATCTATGATAGATGATATGTGTGTTATTACATTTGTAGTAGATCGTATGTCCGTTGTTACATATGCAGTAGGCGGTACTTCAGTTATATTTTTCACAGATGGTATATGTGTTAATACATCTGTGGTGGATGGTATATTTGTTAATACATCTGTGGTAGATGATGTATTTGTTAATACATCTGTAGTAGATGGTGTATCTGTTACTACATCTATCTTGGATATTACATCTGTCGAAGGTATGTGTGTTGTTACATATGTCGTAGATGGAATGTCTGTTATTACATCCGTGGTAGATGGCATATGTGTTTTTAGATCGGTGGTAGATGGTATGCCTTCTATACCTGATATTACTTCTGTCGTAGATGGTATGTCTGTTACATCTGTAGTAGCAGCTATGCGTGTTTTAAAATCTGCAGTAGTAATAGGTATGTCGGTTGTTACACTTGTTGTGGGTGATATTTCTGTTATTACCCCTGATGATATTTGTGTTGTTACATCTGTCAAAGATGATATATCTGTTTTTAAATCTGTCATGGATGGCATATCTGTTATTACATCTATCGTAAATGGAACGTCTGTTATATCTGTAGTTGGGGGTATGTATGTTGTTACACGTGAAG